AGCCAGACGACGCCTGTGGATACTCCCAAACCTCAAACGTTCAAGTGCGTTACAACATAGTAGTTCCGCGCACCACGAATTTTGAGTGGACAAACTTGAATGAGTTTGGCGGGTTCTTAAAACGTTATACCTCTCACCAAGCTAAGTATCTAGGTGTAAATCAACGCCGTTATGGACCACGGAGGTCGCCTTCATCACATGCTAGAGTGTTGTGGAAATGCGAAGGAGACAGAGGTTCGACTCCTCCTAACGGTTATAAGGAAGTTTTGATGTTCTTTTTCGATGTCTTAGCCTGGATACTTACACAGACGCACAGTATACTCACCCCATTTCTGCCTCTTACCCACCGCGACGCGAGTGCGAAAAAGCGCGGCGAAGCCATGCTCAAACCTCAGTCGGATGAAAGTTTCGGCGCACTGGCAAATAATAGGTCGAACCTCGCTGTACTCCTCACGAGTGCGGCATCCCGCTATGCAGAAACGCCGTTGTAGACCACGGAAGTCACCCCCATTCTGTGCCGCTGCGTGAAGATTCATGTGGAGATGGAGGTTCGACTCCTCCCAACGGCGTTATGGCGTTTGCCAATTTTTTTTTGGCATCGCATGATTTTGAGACACTGGAATCATGATGCAGGCAGTACTTCCCCTGTGCATGGCACTTTGAGGAGCGGTGCAATTGTTTTCCTGAGAGACGTCGTCACCAGCCGTGATGGGGGCTGCAGCACGCGTTCCTCGAGCTTCGAGTGCGTGCTGATGCCGTAGATATACTTATGCATGCGAACGATACGCACACCAGAAAGAGTAAAAATGAACATGCTGTCGAAACCGTGATTAACCAACATGGTTTGTCCTTTCGGCAACACGGTCAGCGGAGGGGAATTTTTCACTTTTGCCGGGGTGACGCCAGCCGCGGAGCACTTACTCGAGGCCAAGATATGAATTCGAACCCGGTTCATTCTCTGCGTTGCAATATTTCGTGCGTTTACCTTGAGCTCGGCCGCCGAGCCCAGCCCCAACCAACTTCCGCACATCACCCGGGCCGTTTGTCCGTCAAGGTCATAGCCTCCGTAGGTACACGTACAATTCCAGCGTATGTACACGTACAGCCGATCACAACGAATCCAAATACAATAAGAATAAGCGCGTGGCCTCGGCACGCGCACAGCGCCGGCGCCGGCGCTCACAGCAGTGAGCACAGCATGAGCAGCGCGGGCACGGCGGCCGCCAGCGCGGCGGCCGCGGGGCGCGCCGCGCCGCCGCTGAGCCCGCCTTGGGGGCTCGCGCCGGCGTTCGCGTCCGCGGTCGGCGTCACGATGACGGTGGTGACATCCGTCGTCGTGCTGCTCGGCGCGGGGGGCGCCTGCGGCGGCGGCGGCGGCGGCGTGGCGGCGGGCGCGTCGGTGGTGGTAGTGGGCGGCGGCGGCGGCGGGAGAGGCGAGGGCGTGCTGGGCGGCGAGGGCGGGGGGAGCTGCGGCGGCGCGCTGGTCGTCGTCTGTGGCGGCGGAGGTGGGGGCGGGGGGGCTGGCGTGTTGGTCGTCTGGGGTGGGGGGGGCGGGGGCGCGGCGGTGGTTGTCGGACGGGGAGGCGGTGGTGCCCTGCAAAGTGCATCAGTGTCAGCGTCTGTAGAGGAAGAGGAGGGCGTACGCTGTCGTCACGGCGCCGCCGCCGCCGCCGCCGCTGGAGCCAGAGCCGCCGGACTGCGGCTCGCCCGTCGGGCAGGTGCTCGAACCGGAGGAGAACGAGCCGTCCTAGCCATGGGAAAAAAATAACAATAAGCCGCGGAACGTGGCTGTGCGCGCGCGCGCAGGCAAGGCAACGCACCGCGAAAAAGTACGTGCACGGTCCAGCGTCCTTGTAGGTGCACGTCGCGAACTGGTTCTGCGCGTCGGCGCTGGAGCTAGTGAGCGGCGTCCCGTCCTTGTCCGTTGCTGGACAATTAATATTGGGGCTGAAGGTATCCACCCAAGTCAATCACTGTCAGCGCGCATGACGTCTCCACAACGCACGAAATAGATCCGGTCGCCGCAGAGCTCAAGCTCCCGGCGGAGACATTGCTGGAGGCATCGCTGGAGGCCTCGTCCTGCGGGAGGCCCTTCGGACAGGTGCTCGAGCCCGAAGAAAACGACCCGTCCTAGGGCGCCCGAGCCATCAGCTCCCGACCCGATCCCGATCACTGCGGGACACACACCGCAAAGAAGTAAGTGCACGGCCCAGCGTCCTTGTAGGTGCACGTTGCGAACTGGTTCTGTGCGTCGGCGCTGGAGCCGGTGAGCGGCGTCCCGTCCTTGTCCGTCGAGGGGCAGTTGATCCCGCGCTTGAAGGGCGCAGGGGACGCAATGGCCACGGCGGCGGCAACTACCACGTAGAATGTCGAGAAGCGCATGATTAGCAGGGAGGCAAAGAATGGAAGGGGCGGGTGGAGGGGAAGAAAGGCGGCCTGCGACTGGGGCTCAAGGGCGCGGCTGGCGCGGCGGTGGAAACGAAGATGAAGGGAAGAGACAGGGCGTGTCAGTGTGATTTGATGCGACACACCTGACCTACCACAGCACGGGACTTGGGCTGGACAGCCTGCAAGTAAAAAAGATGGTTTCATATCTATACCCGGAATAGGCCCAGCCCCGAGTCGAACGGAATATGTGGATATATCATACAGCTGCGCGGTGGCAAGCGCTACCAAGCCACTTCCACCAGCTCAGCCCGATAGCCCGATATTAATCCGAGATGTCGTTAAAGGTCCGGACGGCGGGCACTATGCTGTAAGAAATGACAACCGGCGATGACTATCAAGAACGCACAGAGCGTGCTTATGGAGCAACGTTTTGGTGTAACAACGCCACTGGCAGAAACAGACTCCCAGTTGGAATAAGGAGTCTGTCGACAGCTGCCCAAAACTTCACAAGAAATTAGTAGAGAAAATGGAGCACAAACCCACGAGTCGGAACATGCCCTGATCTCCTGCACATCCTCAGACGAGGTAGTGCAGCTCAGAGTAATATTCCTGGAAAGACTTTTCGCTGATCTACCTGACCTACAACGCCAGATGGCAGAACTCTCTAATATTGAGTTCCTCAAAGCCATTATTTATCCAAGATCATCTATTGCACTGGTTGCTAAATTCATGTATGAAGTCCTAGAGGTGTTCTATGCCGTCCCTGTGTATCGATTTAATGCTTGAGGCTTCCCCAGATTGATGTGCTAATTTCCGCTCTCTTGTGTCTGATTTAGTTCTACCACGGCGACCCACCAGTTCGACCGTGAGCTCGGCTATGAAGACACTCAAGGGCCCAGGGACGATGATGTAGTATTTAGTGCTTTGTACATCGGGACAATTCCTGGAAACCGGCGTTCTTGAGTGGGACCGTGCCGTGTAATACTACCACTACTACTACTACTACTACTACTACTACTACTCCGCGATCAATCAAGCTTTGCTATTGCTGTTTCATTCTTAGTCGACATAAACACGGCGTGACGGAACTTGAACCAGGTCCGGGACTGATGCATGACGCCTTACGATGCGATGCCTAATATCCCCGTCACTAGCCAGCCAGAGAAACGTCGCCGTCGCCGCATAGCGATGACGCTCGTTGAGCTGGGTATGTGCATCCATCTGTCCATCTGCGCCGCACCCGACTGCGTGAATTGACACTCGCAGCCGCCCAATGCACCGCACCGCCCCTCAGTCGCTGATCTCACATCGCCGCAGCATACACCGTGAAAGTCAGGCTGTACCTCATGGAACAACCCCGGCTCATGGCGTCGTATCTCGTTCCTGTGCGCGCTTATTAATACGCGACGCATCGTTCGTGGGATCCGGAGGGGCACGTAGAATGCCGACCACGGGCAACAACCTCAGGCTGAGCCGGCTCAAGTTTCACGGCGACCCACGGCGGACGCAGAGCACGACTCAAGTGCAGAGCCAGGGCGGGATCATTTGTATGGTGCATGGCGAAGGTCGTCCGTGCGCGGCAGGACTAATTCCGAAATTGGGCTGCGCGGGCGGGCTCTTGGCGTGCACCATGCGCGGTGTCGAGCATGTCGGGGATAGGGCCGAGGGGCGCCGGCGGGACTCGCACGATGGTGGTGCCGGCAGACTGCAGTTACGGTACGAGTGTGATTGTACATAAGGGGCTAATGCCGATTGCTATCTGTCGTGCTTATTGTTCTTGTACTTATTGCGGTGACGTTTCCTGCACTCCATATGACTCGTAGGGTGAGCCCAGTTGTCGGGAGCAGCATGGCGCAGATGGAAGCGCGCGGGGCCCATATATAGGGCGTCGACTGTCACCCCGAGGTCACTCGATCGAAACGAGTTGCTGCTATTTCTTTTTCTCTCATTTACAGTTGCAGTGACCGTCATCTGATATCGTTTGGGTTATCATGTTTATCGATTTTGCCAGCGCGGAACGTGATTTCACAAATTTAAAATGCTCAGACCGTGCGAAATTCAAGGGTGTTGCCGCCCCCTGCCACGGTTCGCCGTTGCGTATTCCATTCCGTGACACGACGCAACGCGTGCCCAGGTTTTAATTACTGCGCTTCTATGCGGGGGAAAATCCAGGCAGAAAAGAAATCTGACCATCAAACGATTGTTCGCAAGAAACAATAATCAAGAATCATGCAAAGTTGCAATTGACACAATGCTTCCTACGGAACTGGTACGGTATAGTACGGGCCTTTAGTTGCAACCATTGCGCGCTAAACTGATGAATAGGTCTGGAAAAACGGAGGAAAATTTTTAATCCTAGCATGACTTCCATAGGCCCAGCCCCGAGTCGAACGGGAATTGATTAGGAGTTTCTGGAGATGCGCGCTGCGCTACCGAGCCGTCTTTCACCAGCTCAAAGTCAGATATGAACCGGACATGGCGTTACAGCTGCGAGTCGGACGAGGCGTTACAGCCGCGAGTTGGACGGGGCACTCTGGGAAATGCACTCTATCCTGCACTCACTGAAGATGCAGAGTGATGACTGATGACCCATGGGGTGACTGAAGTCGCACAGCAGCATGGCGCAGATGGAAGCGCGCGGGGCCCATATGTATATGCAATGGTCCGGTATATCTGAATGAATATTACCCCGAGGTCACTCGATCGAAACGAGTTGCTGCTATTTCTTTTTTCTCATCGTAATGGTTAGCATAATCAACATGATTATGGATCTTACCAGCGCGGAACGAGATTTGTCAAGCTTGAAATATTCAGAGCGTGACGCCGACGAATTATGCGGGCGAAGTTCAAGGGCATTGCCCCGTCGTATGATGGTGGCGGCAGTGTACGAGGGATCGATTAGATACGAGTGTGATTGTAAGCGGCTAATGCCGATTTGAATGACTTACTATCTGTTGTATTGTTCTTTCTAATCGTGACGGGGAACGTTTCCTACTTCATCCTGCATATGACTCGTGTGGTGACCACAGTTGCTGGGAGTAGCATGGGAGCGCGCGGGGCCCATATACAGTACTACCACCTATCTGTCACCCCGAAGTCACTCGATCGAAACGAGTTGCTATCTCTTTTTTTCTCGTCAAAATGCTTTGCGTTACATGATTATCGATCTTGCCAGCGCGAAACGAGATTTGACAAACTTTAAATGTTCAGACCGTGACGCCGACGAATTATGCGGGCGAAGTTCAAGGGCATTGCCGCCACCTGTTACGGTTCGCCGTTGCGTATCCCAGTCCATGACACGATGCAACGCGTGCCCAGGTTCTAATTACTGTGCTTATATGCGGGGGGAACATCCAGACAGGAAAGCAATATTACATACTTTGACCATCAAATGATTGTTCGCAAGAGACTCGGAGAACAGATTAAGAATCATGCAAAGTTGCAAATGACGCAATGCTGCCCACGGAGGTGGGACGGTATAAAAGTTGAACCATTACGCATTAAGCCATGTATAGCTCTGGAAAAATGGAGGACAAACCCCAATACCTATTGGCCCAGTCCCGAGTCGAACGGGAACTTAGTGGGGATTTTTGGACATGCGCGCTCCGCACTACCGAGCCGTCTTCCACCGGCTCAAGGCCGGATATGAACCAGACATGGCGTTCCAGTTGCGAGTTGGACTTGGTGCGACGATGACAACTGCAGAATCGGGCTAATAAACCCGTGCCGGCGTCGTTGTGCGGGTCCCGAGCTGCCGCCGGCTGGCTGTCTACCGTTCGGGCCGTGGAGCAGCGGAAACACTACAGTGGCTATGGTACGTCGCTGGCACATTCCTCAGCCCCGGGTTGCTCGTTCGACCACTGGCACATGCACAGGGAAGACTAGAGACGCATTCGCTTACTAGAGTTTCAACAAAGTACTAGTGTGGTATAACAGCAATACAACGCAAAGGTATATGGGCTGCGCACCCAGAGCTACTACTGTAACAGGGCCGTTGACGCGCACATGGCAGCAGGTCCGCCTTTGCCGCAAGCATCAAGTCCGACATCACCGCCTATTCAGAGTTAATTGATGCTTTTCGATGTGTAAAGGCAGGGCTCACCAAGTTCTCGATGCGCGGCGCATGATCATCCAGTTCACCCCGGCCAACGCTCACGAGAAGTACTCCGTGCGACCCGCGTCGATACTAGGTGCGGGAGCAGGGATGGCGGCAGACAGGTCGATGGAAGCGACGGCGGGCACTACTTAATCTGTATGCTGTAAGAACTTGAAATGTGACAACCCGGCCGGCGACAAGGGGGTACGAAAAATATTAAAAATACCTTATGCCGTTTTTTTCGGCTTTTTGCTGGAACCACCTACCACGTGACACCCAAATATGGTAGTTTATTACGTGTATACCTCGGCAAATGCCGTCTACCAATTGAAAACTCTGAGAACTCGCGGAAATCATCTCTAGATGGCTTGATAACATGAACAAGTTTGTTTTCAATATGTACCACCTTTGTGACAACTCAATACAATTTATTCGGCTGTCTGACCTCACGGGAGAAGTTGAAGTAGATACTTTACAAAAGGATGGCTCAGTGTGCGAAAGATATGCTTCAAGGTGGTTCAGGAAATCATGGTTTATGCCCAAATCACATTGGATCTGATTTCGACACCATTATGGCAATATTTAGGAACCACACCCAAAGTACTGTGGTGCACAGTGATTCTTGGCCTCAAAAGGCTCAGAAAACACTAAAATCGAGCCAAACCTACTGTATTGAGCTCCCTAGACTTCATCCGAGTTCCATTGTATAAGGTCATTATTTTTTTTTCTGGCCTCCTGGCTGACCCACCCTCCCTGCATTAGGTCTCGGCTTGTCCGGCCCGCACCCCCTTGGCCGGCGATGAGTATACAGAACACCCCGGAGCGTGCTTATGGAGCAACGTTTTGGTGTAATACCACCGGCAAAGACAGGCTCCAAGTTGGAATAAGGAGTCTGTCGACAGCCGCCCAAGAAATTAGTAGAGAAATCGAATGAAACGCGGAGCTGGTCACATGGTCTGACGTCACACAACGAGTCCGCGATCAATCAAGCATTTACTTGCATAAATTATTGCAAGACTGAGCGCTGTTTCATTCTTCGTCTTCCACATAAACACGGAACTTGAACCGGGTCCGGGACTGATGCATGACGCCTTACGATCCCCTACTCTGTGTAACAGGTAGGGTTCTGTGGGGCTGGAATCCCAATCGTCCAGCCAGCTTCGTCCCATCAAATTGATTATCTCTTATCTAATGATGTAATATGGAGCTGGAACGTGTTTTAAGCGACGGCGTGTGGAGCCACAAGCGTGCTACAGCATGTTTTTGTGGAGCCGGATCTCCCGGCCCACTGGCTCAATGATGGTGTTTAAACGTTGACGGTTAATTAAGCCAACAAAATGATTTGACTTACAATCCCAACTGCACTTTGCTTCACAATGGGCTGGGAACCGGATCTCCTCGGCCCTAGCCGAAAGGCTTTCGTCAGCATGTTTGTTCGGCATTTTTGTTCCGTCCTCGTGCATCTTGACGGAACAACCATTGGTGAAACGTCAACTCCGTCCGGCATGTTATCCAAATATGCCCAAAGGTGGGCAAAGGTGCATACATATCACAACTATATCACAGCGGGCATGATGTGAGAAGGTGCGTACTGGGGCCTCAGAACGCACCAACATCATGTGACCGTTCTCCATCGGACGACTCAAATTGAAATTTTCATCCCAGCTCTAATATTTTGATTTAAACTATAGGAAGTCTCTAGTAAAACAAAAACAGAGTAGGGGACCGGCGCTCGCGCCGCTAACGATGTGATGCATGCAAAAATGCGATGCCTAAATATCCCCGTTTGATCCGTTAGCCAGCTAGAGAAACGTCGCCGTCGCCGCATAGCGATGACGCTCGTTGAGCTGGGTATCTGCATCCATCTGTCCATCTGCGTCGCACCCGACTTGGTGAATTGACACTCGCAGCCGCCCAATGCACCGCACCGCCCCTCAGTCGCTGATCTCACATCGCCGCAGCATACACCGTGAAGCTCAGGCTGTACCTCAAGGACCAACCCCGGCTCATGGCGTCGTCTTATCTCGTTCCTGTGCGCGCTTATTAATACGCGACGTGTCGTTCGCGGGATCCGGAGGGGCACGTAGAATGCCGACCACGGGCAACAACCTCAGGCTGAGCCGGCTCAAGTTTCACGGCGACCCACGGCGGACGCAGAGCACGACTCAAGTGCAGAGCCAGGGCGGGATCATTTGTATGGTGCATGGCGAAGGTCGTCCGCGCGCGGCAGGACTAATTCCGAAATTGGGCTGCGCGGGCGGGCTCTTGGCGTGCACCATGCGTGGTGTCGAGCATGTCGGGGATAGGCCGAGGGCCATGGGGCGCCGGCGGGACCCGCATGATGGTGGCGGCAGACTGCACTGTACAGTGTGATAGTACATAAGGGGCTAATACCGACGATTTGAAGGACTTACTTACTATACGTCGTACTTATTGTTCTTTCTACGGTGCCGGCACCTGATTGTAATTCAGACGGGGAACGTTTCCTGCAGTCCATCCTGCCAGTGTACTCGATGTCACCAAAAGTAAATATAAATGGGTCAACAGTGCCAGATCACGTGAACTGGGCTCAACCATACCTTACCACCACATACTTATGGATATTAGCTGCAGACCACATAACTTGTTTGGGGGTAATTGCCCTAGTATTACTCTTTGGGGACAAGAAAAGATCAGCAACCCATGTTGAAATCATGCCATTTTATCAATCAGTTGAAAGAATCCTCACAAAGAAAATACCAGGAGCCTGAAAGCAAAGTGAGGTACTTTAGAATAGATGAACAGACCTCTCTGGAGGATTCTGGAACAGTTAAGTTTGTCATTATGTTGCAGATTCTTGTGGCAAATTGCACCGCAGTATCATCTGTCATATTTCGGAATTACTGGTTGGACAGGCGATTCAGAGGGCAACTGGTCATGTAGAACATCATGAATGTATGGAACAGTTACCAGGGAGTGCTCCAGTCATGTTTTGCACAAAGTTGAGTTGTTCACAGTTCCATTTTTTAAGGTTAACTGGACAGCAGCTTGTGCAAGTTCCATGCAGGCATGACTTGCCCCAGAAAATGTGTTGATTATGAGCATCCATTCACTTTACTGGGATTCCAAGTCATGGATCAGGTACAGCATATCCCAAAGTGTGGTCCTGACAACTGAAAACTCCATGCTTGCTTACAGACGAAGCCATAAACTTCGATTCCTGACACACATAGCAAAAATGAACAGGGCTTAAAATAATTGATCTACACGAAGTGTGCACATAGTTTTTGATGCCGAATTCATTCTGGAGGGCAAGAATATATCCAGATGAACCTATCTAGGCAATCAGATTAAGAACATTCCACAAATTTCGGCTGTAATCAGCAAATTTATATTTACTTTTGGTGACATCGAGTATAGGACTCGTGGGGTGAGCTCAGTAGCAGCATGGCGCAGATGGAAGCGCGCGGGGCATATTATGGCCAACCGAATGGCCCAATGTTACCCCGAGCCGAGTTGCTGCTATGTATTTTTTCTCTCTCTCATTTATAGTTGCAGTGGCCGACATCTGATATCGTTGGGTTATCCTAGTCTGATTCAGAATCAACATGGTTATTGCCGCGTCGCATAATGGTGGCGGCGGCCTG